GTACCTGGCACTGACTGTTTCAGCACTTTGGCAGCAGTCTTTTTCTTTTTACCTGTGAAAATGATACTTTTACTACAAAATTAATTACAAATGATCAGCAGCTCTTCAGAGGTACAGTGAACACAGCCTCATAGAATAACAACAAGTAAGATGAGAGAAGGAATTAATAAGTACAGGGGCCAAAAGGAAACATGAATATAAAATGTTTTGGAAGACTTCCCAATCCAGAAAAATTGTCTCACAACTGCTTTAGTTAAATTTAGTACAGTTTTCTCCTGTAGGGAAGCAATATTGGCATTTGTACCCAAGGATGCTGGTATAATTTAGAAGCATTAATCATTGTATCTGATATTTAAAATATTGTTTGAGAGAAGGGGGAATTAAATCTACCTTCCCTCTGCAGTGTAGATTGGGTGCAGATCAGCAAGAGGAGATTTAAGGGAGATGTTTGGGAAAAAGCTTTCTAATGGTGAGAATGATGAAGCACTAAATCGTTTCACTTGAAGAGGTTGCAGAGGATGCTAGATCAATGATTTTTTATTTTGTTTTATTTTGTAAACTCTTTCTACAAGTTTTCCCATGGAAACACACCCTTAAGAGTCAAGTTTACTGACAACAAATCCGCTTTTTGAAGTTACTATCCCCTAAGTGTCACAGATCCCAAACCACAAAAAACACTGGCACAGACTTTCTGTTACTCCTTTGAAGTAATAAGTAGGGGCAGAAGACCTATTTAATGCCTAAATAAACGGGCATAGCATCATTGCAGCTGAGCTGTCCCCCTGACTTCTAGTGCAGTCCTGTAAGGTTTGCTGAAGCAGAATTTGGCTTTAAATGACCTGTGAGTATTGCGGGCTGCCTGTCTGAGAATGGACGGAGATCCTGGCTGTGCTCATGCTTTACCCTGGGACATATTCCCCTGTGTAGAGTTGGAGTGAAGGAGCTCTAGATCCCATCTTTGGTAATAGTAAACTGGGATTTAGCATAGAAATCCGCTTGAGCCTTGCTGGGATGGGGAGAGGGGAAAGCCTTGACCTGTAGCCTGACCAGTACAGACCAAAAGTTACACAGGGGTTGAAGCGAGAGAGAGCAGAGGGAGAAGAAAAGCTTACTGTGTGTGGCAGCCAGGTTTGCGTTTGCTGAGAGCTTTGAATCTCAAATAGAAATGCATCAACAACATGCTGCAAAAACACAAGAATGGCTGTTCCAGCCTGGAAGCCTTTTCACTGTAGGAGATAAGACCATGTTTCCTTCTGTCTGTCATTTGCTTTTATTCCCCTTGGGCTTTTATGTTTTGTTACTGGCTTAGTATCTTCCCTGTCCATCAGTCCAGCGCATCCCATTAAGCAGCTTTTCTTGATTGACTAATGAGATGCTATTTTTGGCAATGCTTTTATCACTGTCTTTTTATTGCCTGGCTACATTTTCTGCATTTTCACCTATTAATCTTTAGTGGATCCTCTATTGCTATTGTATTTACTGTCATATGCCCATCATCTCACTGGGATTTCTTTGGTCAGTTGTTACTCCTCCTCCCTCCTGTCATTTCCTTGCTCATTCCTTCCCAGTTGTGTTCCCTCTCTTCGTTTGGGTTGTACTAGTATCTTTTCTCATCTTCCTCCTTGCAGTACGTTGCCCTCCTCCTATGCCCAAGACCCCCTTCAAATAATCAAAAAGTAAATAAAGGAGAAAAGCATTTCCAGAGGGAGATTCATCCTGCTTTCAGACAGCTGTCTGAGCCAGGCAGACTGAACCACACCAGCAGGTTCCTTTCTCTGTTCATTAACCATAGAAGTCTAAGTGGGATAGACCAGATGCCTAACTTAGAGAGAGTTAAGTGTAAGTAAGATGAATACCATTCATGTAAGCTACTAGGACTTAAAATGCTGAGTATTAAGATAGCATGTGCTACCGCACATTAAAATGAAGGTAGGAGAGTAATTGAGGAAGCTGTTTGGAACTTATACAGTTTTGACAGTTGTTTAACCCACAGCACTAAAGCTATTTAGAATTAACATGATTTTGAATCGCCTTTTTCTGTCCCAATGACTAGCAGCATCAAATTCCAGATGCAAGTTGGCTTTTTAATCCAAATAATAGCTTTCTCCCTATCATACATAAATACAGCCTTAACGCATCAGTATGTTAAATACAGTAATGCTACTCTCAGAAGATTGAAAGAAATGTTCCTACTTTCATCTGCATAGCATATCCCAAATCTGTAAGGTATTGCAGAATTAGCATAAATACCAGTCTAGATGTGCTCTTTCAGTTTGTTCTTAAGGGGATTGCTGTATTTTTGACACCTGCTTATTTGATTCTCCAAAAATGTAACCCATGAGAATAAAGAAAGCAGCCCAAAGACAAAATAAAGAGCTCTTTAAAGGGTTACTTCCTTCTGGTGTGTGGTGGCCTTACTGACTTAACTCATAAACACCAAGATGGTCCTAAAACTGTAATAGTTAAAGCTTCTTGGGTCATTTCATGCTGGTTTCATGAGGTCAGTGAGATACTTTTCATTGACAAGATTTTCCTACACACCATGTAAAGGAAAATACAAAGGTAGATCCATCTGGTCATGCTAGCATAAATGCTGTGGCTGCTCTTGACCCAATTCAGAAGCCTTGTGTGGCCAGGTTTATTTTGCATTACAGCTGCCCAGGTGTACCCTGTGCGGCAAAGGCAGGGCATGGGATTACTTTCCTCATCTCCCACCAATTACCTACCTTCTGTAGTTGGAGCGTGCCCGCCCTTATCTCGCCGCATTTTACGTTTACCATGGGTACAGGCGGTTGGGACAGGGTAACTAAAATGCTGTAAATTGGTGCACTTGTAATTTGTTCAGGTATCTGTACCCTCCAGAAGGTACTAAAGGCAACACAAAGTTAGTGAGTGTCTGTGTTTGTCCTGCCGTGAGCGCTGGTGCAGGGTGTATGCTGCTGTTGGGTGTATGTGGCTTGAGCATGCCCTGGGAAACTTGGCTGTGCAGACAGGCGCAACGGGATGATGCCCTTGGTTCATGTCTGATGTTTGGATGTTAATATAAATACACTGTTAGAAAAATTTGTGAAAATGGATGTATCATTAAAACCAGATCTAAAAGATTTTCATGAGGAGGTTTGACTGATTTCCATATCCAAATAGTTAATTGCTAATTCTGAATTTCCTGAATGAAGGAGTGTGAGAGACTGGAAAAATAATCTTAAGCAGGAGAACAGATACAGTCGAACATGTTTAGCAGTAGCCTGTAGAGAGATTCATGGCAGTCTCTCACTGGAAATTAAACAGTCAATGGTTAGGATAGAATCCTTATCACGACAATTCCCTTTATTGCCAATTGTATACATACCCTGTTCTTATCCAGAATGGACTGCTGCTACCGAGTGAGATAGTCTGACTTGCTGCAATAGTTATTAGGGTGGAAGCGTGCAAATTTTGCTAAATAAATTTAAAGATACACAAAGAATTGAAAGGAGAGAAGGTGCATGCCTGTCTTCTGTGTGGACGTACATACATATATGTGGATTTTTAAATATCTCTTTTATGCCTTCCCTGTGTGAAAGTTCTCCTAAGATTCTGCTAATGTTTCTAGCTTAGAAATGTGAACCAGAGTGATATGACATCTTTTTTTTTGTTGTTGTTTTTTTTCTGGTGCATCTCCTGGGAGTCTAGATGATATGCATGATAAATCTTTCACCTTGGCAGAAAGAGAGGGAAATGTTTAATATTTAACCAAGGCTGTCTTTTACCTCAACATCTATTGATGGGGGACTGCACTTACAAATACGTAAAAATGTGTTTGTTTTTGCTAAAAGGAGCGCTTGGAAGGAGAAAAAGGATAACTTTTCCCTAAGGAATAGGCCTCAACTGCACTAGAAGAAAAGAGATTGTTTTAAGAATCGGTCAGATTAAGCCCGTGTTACACTCAAATAGTTTAATACCTGCTTAAATTGGACCATGTTTAAGCACAGCAGTTCAAACGGTGGCTATAGAGTCTGTGTGGTTAAATTGTGCAAGTTGCTGTGTCCGTGCACTCATCTTCTCAAGTTCTCCCACCAGACTGTCAGTGGTTTTACACGGGGAGCAGCACATCAGGTTTGTGTCACTTTATCTCCTGTTTACTGAAGAAAATGGTCTACTAACCAGTGAACTGAATTCACTGAATCCCAGTCATGTGTGCTATTTGCTAAAGACTGACTCATTTTTTAGTATCTGCGGATTTCTCTAAATTAGATGAGGATCGCATTTCCAGAATTATGTTTTAATTACATTTACACCATTGGGAAAAGCTCCTGTTACTGATAGCAAACTAGCAGAAGCATCCTGCCCAACCTGCTTTCTCTCCCTTCTTGGAAACTTAGTAGAGCTTTTTGAGAGAAAATGTAGAAGTTAAAAAGGCTTAACCCAAGCTTAATATTTTTCTGTGAGCCTTTAATAGATCTGAACTGCATCTGTTGTACAAATCTGGTAGGTTGCAGGTAGGGGGAGAGTTGTGTGTCAGAATTTCCTGTATCAGTGTATTTGTTACCAGTCTCAATTGTACTTGTTTTAATGTAGTGTATATTTGTTAATCATTATTATAATATTCTCTCTCACTGGGCTTGTACAATATGTAAGCAGTCTATAGAAATAAGCCTACGGCAAGATTGCCACAGTCTTGTAGGTAAAAAATATTCAGTACACCTTTGAAAATGCAAACAAACAAGAATACCAATACTGTTTCTTCACAGCTTTTAAAATTTCTGTGTTAAAAGATAATGTGAATAGGATATTTTCAGTAGAATTGAGGTGTCTGCAGGCTAGAGGGCTGGAGGGTTCACAGAAAATGAGTAGGCACATGCAGCCTTCTAATGCTTACTCTCTTGGGCTGAAATCCGTAAGCTCGAATTGCTTTTAAATACCTAATCTTGATGATTAATGTGTAGGCTTTCCACCAACACTTACAAAAAAAGCCTACCAGAAGAACATATGTGCAGTCACCCTGTGCCTGCCTCTTGCAGATGCGCACAACCCGCAAAGTATCGGTGTGGCCTGTGGGGCTGGTGGGAGGACGACGGTACGAGCGCCCAGTGGTGGAGAACGGCAAGGTTGTTGGCTGGTACACTGGCTGGAGAGCTGACAGACCCTTTGCTATTGACATGGCAGGTAAGCACTGCATTTTGTAATATGGGAATGTTTTTCAGAATAACTGTTCTTACATATTTTTTTATGAGTGGGACAGAAACAGGTGTCTCAGTATAAACAGCTTTTTAAACTTCTGAAGGGCTTCTGCTCTACGCAGCCATTCAGCACTAAATATCCTGGAAGTCCTGGCTTGCACATATCACCTAATTAAGTTGCTTGTTGGTGATATCTGAACTTAGTTTCGCTTGGTTTTAATTTTATGCGGCAACTTGTCTTTTATGTTGTATAGTTTGTCTGAAATGAGTTAGTTGTAAATTAATTAGTTCAGTTAATTTTTGCAAGGAGTCCTTGCCTTTCACTGTGTCATCAGTCTACACCAGGCAGTATAAACGCAGGCACTTCTTAGACCTTATGTTGTAAAATGCTACTTTATCATGAAATTGTTCATTTTTTATTGGTTATTTGGAATGATGGTGATAACTGTAGATGGATATAGTTTGAAACACCGGGCTTAGGGAAAAAATCACTGACAGCTATAGCCTAGTAGATGAAAGCAGAAAAGCTTCAAAAAATGGATGTAATCAATCTTCTGCTGTGAAGTTAGCACACGGCATAGCTCTGTCTTGCTGTCAGTCCATGCTTAGACAATCTTTTGTATATATTCATAACTACCACATGAATCACTCCTCTGCAGAAGTCTGACTGGTTTCCCAGTAAAGGATATGACAGTTGTACTTTAGCATATCCTGTATCCAGGAAGCAGATGAAGAGCGAAAAGTAGGCATACAAGGGCAAGAATGGGGTAGAAATAGACAGCCGTTTTCTTTTTTCTGATACTCTTATGTTTTGGGAGAGGGGAAAAAAACAGTGTTTTCTCATCTCAGCAGGACCATAGAATCATAGAATGGTTTGGGTTGGAAGGGACTTTAAAGATCATTGAATTCCAACCCCCCTGCCCTGGGCAGGGACACCTCCCACCAGACCAGGTTGCCCCAAGCCCCATCCAGCCTGGCCTTGAACCCCTGCAGGGATGGGGCAGCCACAGCTTCTCTGGGCAACCTGGGCCAGGCTCTCACCACCCTCACAGCAAAGAATTTCTTCCTAATATCTAATCTAAATCTCCCCTCTTTCAGTTTAAAACTGTTACCCCTTGTCCTACCCTACACTCCCTGATCAAGAGTTCCTCCCCAGCTCTCCTATAGCCCCCTTTAAGTATTGGAAGGCCACTATAAGATCTCCCTGGAGTCTTTTCTTCTCCAGGCTGAACAATCCCGACTCTCTCAGCCTGTCTTCATAGCAGAGGTGCTCCAGCCCTCTGATCAGCTTTGTGGACCTCCACTGGACCTGCTCCAACAGGTCCATGACCCCTGAGGAACACCACTCATCACTGGCTTCCACTTGGACATAGAGCCATTGACTGCAACCCTTTGAGTGCAGCCGTTTAGCCACTTCCTGATCCACCAAGTGGTCCCGTGTCTCTCCAGTTTATGGACCAGAATATTTTTACATGGATTGAAATGTTTGATGAAAAATATATACAGATTTTAGAGTGCAATTGGTTAAAAGGGAGAAAGGAAAACTAATAGTTGTTAATACCTCAAAGACAGAAACATCAATAGGTGAATTCGTCTGCGCTGTAGAAGTATTTCACGTTAATAGCATCACCTGGCATGAAAATACGAGTGCCTAGGTAGAGGCATTTCCTCAGGAGAACAAGATACGTCAATCCCTAAACTTGTTCCGCCTATTGAGGACTGCAGCTGTGCATTTTAGGGGTTTCTGCCTGTAGATTTATAGATACATATTGATACTGTGCTATGGAAGTGGTTACTTATGGGCATTATAAAGATGATAGCATAATTCGTTAGTAGCAGGCAAAAAGCCATTACACAACATTGGCCAAGGGAGTCTAACCCAGACATGATGAGATATATGGAAAGTTCTTAAGGTGGTGTTTACACTTTGCAGCTGCCAGCCGAAGCACTGACATGAGGGAAAAAACAGCTCCATTAGGAACATTATCTGCATGTGCTCTTACCGAAGGGACGGTTATAGAGACAAAGATACAAGGGTTGAGAATATAGAAGTTATTGCAGATCTACAAACAAGGAGTTACTATTCTGTAAGAAAACTTTATTATTAGTCTTCAAAAAATAACTGATTAAATTACATTTTTAATTTCAGCAAGGAGGGAAATAGATGCTGGGTAGGCTGCTAAAAATCTATGTTAAGTTTGCATCTTCATTCCCCTCAGGAATACATTGGAAGGGCACAAACAGAACAGAACCTGTAAATCCTGAACTGCATAGGCATCTGAATAGGTGCAGCCTACAGGATGCATCTTAACACTCCATTTTCCACCCTTGTCAATTGCCTGACCCCCAATATACCCTTAGGGACTTGCTAAAAAACCAAAGTCCATGTTGTAGTACCTTGCTGCCATTCCTCCTTCTGCTGGCAACAAATATATAAACAACTCAGGAACTCAGGTTATACCATATACAGCACATAAGGAAGATCAAGGATCTCTTTTGAAAATGTTACTGTGGGGAAAAAAAAGTGCTTATATTAAACTGCTTAGCTGTCTACAGTGGCTTATGATTAGTGTATTCTCAAGGCACTGGTAAGGGGTCTCTCTTTGGTTTATAGAACTATCTTTTCACAGTGATTTTTGCAAAAATCTGATTGTGAGGCTGGGTGCAAAAAGAATGACTGCTTAAAAGGTTTGGGACCACTGATTTAATTTGTGACTGTTCAGAGCAAGCACATCCTTGCTTTTAAGCACAGAAGCTTCTTATTCTGGAATTCAAAATACAGGGCCAAATTCAAATCTACTGCAAGTGGAGACAGGTCCTGGTGATTTCATTGGGATCAGCTCAAAGACCCTAGCTAGCCAACTTCCCTAGGTTCTTTGAAATCTACTCACACGTGCAGCCACATTAGATTAGTTCAGTAAACATGGCTTATTCCTTTGAGAGGCTTGTGGTTGACGCTGCTATTCTCTAATGCTACACTGCATTCAGGAAGCAAAGTAGCTGTTTCCTCTGTTGCTGCTTCTCTGGCAACCAACACACCACCTGAATTACTTGTGGTGTAAGCTCCGCCTCAGTTTTAACTGCAGGTCAGTTCTCGAGTTTGACCTTGGATAGAAAAGCAAGAGAGAAGTGGGTGTTGTAAGCAAAAAGCGACATTGATCCCGAGATTGTCATTATGTTGTTTATTATAGACCTGATTTAAAGTGTTCTATTTTAAATGATGCTGCTAATGATTTACTGTTGGCTTGTTCCCAGCGCCGGTTTTTGACCACCCATGACAAGAGGTTAGATTGTGATTCTGCTCCCTCGACCTGCTGGTCACATTCTTCTTGATGCCCCCCAGGGTGCCCTTGGCCTTCTTGGCCACAGGGGCACATTGCTGGCTCATGGGCATCCGGGACTCCCAGGTCTTTCTCCTCAGAGCTGCTCTCCAGCAGGTCACCCCCAACCTGTCCTGGTGCAGGGGGTTATTCCTCCCCAGGTGCAGCACCCTACACTTGCCCCTGTTGAAGTTCATCAGGTTCCTCTCTGCCCAGCTCTCCAGCCTGTCCAGGTCTCACAGGTCTCACTCTGCTAGGGCCTAAGCAATCTTTTTATTTATTTATTTATTTTAATTTTGCCATAGTATGAGGTCTTTAGTACATGTCATCTTTCTTACACTAGTCTATTAATGACAGAATTATAGAACAGTCCAGGTTGGAAGTGACCTGGAAAGATCACCTGGTCTAACCTTTAGAAAAGGCTAAAAGTTTAATTTTTCAAAATGTTTAATAAAACTATTTTCACATTTGATTTAGAATCATCCAAGCTTTATTTTGAAAGCATTGGAAAATACTGAAGTTATTAAAAATAGGAAAAAAAATACTGCAATTACTATGACAATATAATGTGGAGAAAACTCAGCTGAAACAGTCAGTTTTGGATGGCACTGAAAAACATGGTATACTTTACGTATAATGATTATAATGCGTGTAGTCTTTGAAAAGCCACTGCTGGATGTCAGAAATAAAAGGTTTTAAGTGAGTGGCTATGGCAGACACCAAATTCAAACACACACCACACCCCCCC